GCATGATCTCAGTGTCGAAAAATCTCAGTGTTTCACAGGATTTTTACTGTGAAGTGTAGTGACTATCTACTTGGAAGTGAACAATTGCTTTAAGGAGTGTATTTGGGTTTCGTGTTTCTTTTTGCAGTCTTTGGGGAGTTGGGAAGTGACTGGACTTTGGTGCAGTGAACTTAATGTGTATGAATGGAAAGTAGTGCCAGGAAAACCTGGTATTATTTGTGGTAAATCTATTTCACCAGGGACCACAGCCATGCTCCTGTCCAGGATTACTAGGCCAGCTGCTAGACTGTGGGAAATCTCTGATTTGCCCACTGGTACTCCCCGGAACACTTTTATTTAAGTCTTTTTGAGCTCCCAGTAACCATCAGGGTCAAATCTGTGAGTTGCTCGTCTGTTCTTGTTTCAGCTACACTGTGTAATACCCTCAATTATTTTTTTTGGAGAAATCTAGGCCTGTCTCTTGAAGAAAATAATAATATTCTTTGCATTTGATATAGCGCCTTATCACATTGTTGAAACATCTCAAAGCAAATCACCAACGAGGTGCTGGATTTCTGGTTCTGTGAAAAATGTTCCAACAATTTATGTTTTATAGAACAGCAGCTTGCACTTTTATAGTACCCTTCACACAGGGTGGTGCCTCAGAGCACTGAAATCTTAATCCCAGTTTTTCACAGTGTTAAATTTGTCTTAAAATATAAGGATTTGGGGAAACTCACGTTCACTCTCAGTCCCGAAGCCAGGTTCTGCAGACGTGTGCTTTTTTAGGAAGTGTTAAGTGCTCAGATACAACCCCATGTGAAGGATGTTTAAATGCAAGTTACTGTTTGTTTTTTGTGGTCTGGCTGGAGTGTCACGCTATGCGATTGCGATAATATTGCTGGAGTAACAACTGGATGGATTCTGAGCACAATCAGATAATGGAATAACTGAATACACTAAAACAGAGAAATAGAGCTAGAATACTGGGTACTGCTAACTGGCTTTGACAACTAATATAAGCATCATGTAGACCACAGAGTAGTCTAATATGATTTCCTGTGTACTAACAATAGTCTGAGGATACAGTCGAGTAATGAAGTGATAACAGGTATTAGCATGTGTAATGCGCTTTAATAGACATTTAATGACATTTAATTCAAGGAGGCAGAAAGGCCTTCCCAATGGAATATTCCATCATTGAAACTCATTGATCACCAATTTAGGCAGATTCATAGTGGAGAGGTTAATCCATCAATTCCTTTAACTAAACAACTCTGATCGCAATTCTGTAGGTGACACTCAGTATGGCCTGAGCCTTCCGTCTTCACAAGCGAATGACTGATATGACAGGCATGGAGCTCACACCAGATTTAAATGATTGATTTTTTCTCTGTTTGTAATAAGATCTTGAGACATATGGAAAGACTTAGCCCTCGTCAGGATTGAAATGTATCGCTCTAAATGGAAAATGAAATATGATTGTATGTACAAAAGTGCACTTCACCAACATTAAATCAGTGGTGTTTTGCCCCTGCAGTCGCTAAATTTTTACAGCATGGTTATTCTGATAAATGTTCTAATTAGCCGCAGTAAATGCACTGCCACTTTGGTAATATTTATAAATGTCAAGAAGGTTTCATTTGATTTGTATTTTGCAAAAAAAATCACATTCAGATTGGCAACGAGAGCGAGTCTTCGTCACATTGTGCCCTTTTGGGGTTAAATCTGCACCTGTGCGGCTAACTGCCAGTGACCAAAAATGTTGCATGTTGCTCAAGATGATTACCACTATGTTGGCTTTCTGTACGTGAGACTATAGTTAGCTGTTGTTTTTTTAACCTTAGCGGCAATGTTTGGAATGAGTATCGCCAAGAATTCCTCAGCTCCTGATGTTTCAACAAGACCTTGGTAAACTTGAACCGAGGTTGAATGTGTTTTTTTCCAGTAGGCAGATAGACATGGGAGACAATTTTGAATGGGATTCTTTTAAAATCAATCCAATTGTGGATTTAGGAAGTGTGCCACTCTGACCCACAAAAGTGCATCGCGTTGGAGTAGAATTCATGTGAATTGGTGGAAAGTGCTTCTGGTTTGCTCATTAAGGAATCCTGCTGGAAATCATCATGTATTAAAGCCCAGTATCCTCAATTTTTTAGTTAGTTTCAACTTCCAAACCAATCTGGTTCATGATCTCGGGTTAATGTATATTCCCAGATGTCTCCCTAAAATGTGTGGATCATGTGACGTGAAATCGCTGATGTCTTGTTCATTCCCTCTTTCAATTCCAGTTCATTTTTTTCTATAACTCAACAGAGGCTGAAAACTAATTTAACCTTCTCAGTTGCCAGTGCCTCTAGACAATCTCTTTCTATACCCTAGATATGTTCCTGACAGACAGAGGCAGCAGGAAATGTAGCAGCACAAAGGCTTGTGGGCAGTGTTTGAAGTTTTCACACCTGTAGGAGTGAGCGCGAGATTCTTGCCACTTTCACCCCTGTTAACGTGGGACATCCACTCTAACTTAACCCTCATGAATATGGGAGACATTTTTAACCTCCTTCATCTTGAACAGCAGATTAGTTCTGTTCACTTATTGTCAACAAGGCTTTTGTGCAATCTGATCAAAACGATCTATCAGCATCTTACCAGCATTGGGTTCACAAGCCTGGACAGGAGATGTTGAGTATTTTCCCATTTTTCAGCTGGTGGCCGTTGATTGATTACTGTTTTTGTCATGTCTTGCTCGGGCAAATTGGGGCAATTCTCTTGTAACCCTGTCCTACCACAGAGTCAGGCCGGAATGAATGGATTCTTTGGGTCAAAGTGCATCCAGTGCGTTATTTAAGCCTAATTTGCGATTTGTAACCTGTTGGAACTCTGCTCTGATGCTGATCCCCATTCCAACTTGTGGATTGCGGGCAAAGAAACTCCTGCCACCTGATAGGTTAAGGCAGCGTCCGAGTGGAATTTCTGTGAACTCTGACATTTTCAGGTATCTGCAAGATCTACTAGTTACAAATCAAATTGTGGTTCTTACACATTAGACCCTATTTTTTAACAACCACAACTTGCATTTATATAGTGTCCCTCATACAAATCATCCCTCATGCAGGGTAGCGTCCCAGAGGGCTATTAGATTTGCCAGTTGTCAGCCTCTGTGGCATGTTACCTGGGTTTCCTGCATTGTATGATACAGCTAATTAGACCCCAGCTCTCATCCTAGCTCTCTTTGCTAAACACAGTCGTATATAGCTAAGGGGTCCACAAAGAACAGGTGTATGGAAGCTCCAGTTTGAAGGAAGTGGGAATGGAGCTTGTTTTATCAATTACTTTTTTTATGAAAGGCTGGGGTCTGCTCACCTTCCCTCTCAATTCCTCAAAATCCCTTATTTTAATTCAACTGATTTAACACTGGAGGAGTCATCACGGGTGAATTTGTACAGAGGGATTATTTGTTGTGGGAGGAATCATCTCATGAGAGGCCTGCAAGGGTTCCTAATCATCCAATTGGTGACAGTTTAACCCATTGAACTGCTAAATACAAATGCAACAGAAATATTTCCTTTGGAACAGCAGACGCTACTCATCCCACAATGAAGCAAAGTCCAGAAATCCTTTTAAAAAGCATTTAGAAAGGATGCTTAAAGAGGGGAATATTAAAGGGTATGAAGGAGTGAGCAGGCGAGTGGGATTATTATTAACAACAGTAATAGTCGTTACATCTTTCACATCACGAAGACATCCCAAAGCGATTCACAGGATATACTGTAAAGTGGGGTGACTGCATGTTTTGTGGGTGAATGATCAAACAAGGTGACTTATGGAGAAAATTTGCAAGGCTGTCTTGATGAAGCCATGTGGCCTGTTTCTGTGCTGTAACTCTATAAATCCATGTAACATTCTCTTCCAAACAAAACTAAGATTTTGTACACACAATAGTGGACACTGTGGAAGGAGGCAAAAAGCTGCAATCTGGTATTTTGACAAGTCCTTATGTGTATAGTTTGTGTCATGCCCTGAACCTTTTCTGCATACACAAGCATATAAATGTAACTCATCCCTGATGTGGAGCAGAAATGTATTTTATGTATTAATATACAAGCTAAAATATGTATTAGTATACGTCAAAGCTTAAAGGTAATCTCTAAAAGTGCCCATTGATTTTTTTTAATGCCCTTCCTTTGATAACATTTCAGATGTTGTAAAGTTTTTCTTTAAACTCATAAGAAAAGCAAAACAGGCATTGCGGTTCATTTCTAGAAGGATAGAAATGAAAACAACAACAACAAGATTCCATTTATTGAGCGCCTTTCACGTCAGGAGGACGTCCCAAGGCGCTGTACAAGGGTCAGGGAAAAGCAGGGAAGTTATGGTAAACTTCTATAGGACCTTAGTTAGACCACACTTAGAATACTGTGTGCAGTCCTGGTCCCCACATTATAGAAGGGATATAGAGGCACTGGAGAGGGTGCAAAGGAGATTCACAAGGATGATCCCAAAACTGAGAGGTTATATCTATCAGGAAAGGCTGAATATGCTTGGACTCTTTTATCTTTAAAAGAGAAGGGTAACTGGTGACCTGATAGAGGTCTTTAAAATCATTAAAGGTTTTGATAGGGTAGACATAAGGAAGATGTTTCCACTTGTGGGGAGACCAAAACCAGGGGCCATCAATATAAAATAGTCACAAATAGATCAAATAGGGAAGTTAGAAGACATTTATTCACACAGAGAGCAGTGGGACTATGGAACATGCTACCACAATGAGTTGTTGAATCAAATAATATAGATGTATTTAAGGGGAAGCTAGAGAGGTACATGAGGGAGAAAGGAATAGAAGGTTATGCTTGAAGGCTTAGTTGAAGAAGGGCAGGAGGAGGCTCATATGGAGCATAAACACTGGGAATAGACCAGTTAGGCCAAATGAACTGTTTCTGGGCTGTATATTCTAATGTATTTAATGTATTCATTGCTCTTTTCTACCTTGTAATTCTGTTCAATCTCTGGTTTCTGTCTAGCCCTGCTCTCAGTTTTCCATACCCTGCTACGCCAGTTGCCATCCAACAAATGCACCACCAAATAATGAGTCGTCAACAGACCCTGGGCTCAGCATTTGGCCACAGTCCTCCTCTTATCCATCCTGCTCCGACCTTTGCCACCCAGCGGCCAATACCTGGTCTTTCCTCTGTACTGACCTCTGCACAGGTTACCTCTGTTCCTTCTGAATCTGCACAGGTAAGAGAGCACAAGGGATGGGACTGGGGAACATTTCTGCTTGTCCAGAATGCAGATTGTGGTGTTGAAATGAGTAATGTGTGTGTGATTCAGCAGCTTGATGTCTTAAGTAGCCTGAATCAGTGATGTGCTATGAATAGCAATTGCAAGCAGCTTGGGTGTGAGCGCCTGTAATCACAGAGGTCCTGGAGGACTCTGTTCTATCCACAGGGTTCCAACATGGTGCTGGAGCACTGTGTGATCTTGGCATTCAATAGTACTGATATTATCTTAGGACTGTTTAATTGAGTTATTAATCATTGTAACAATTTTCATAGATATTGATCTGATTCAGGGTTTTGTATATTAGAGGGTTGATCTTCATTGGTGTCTCGTTTGCTGCCATTTCACTCATACTTTTTTTTAAAAAAGAAACTGTTCCATTTCATGCCTCAGACCAAACCCACGAGTGAGTCTGCAGTGAGCAGTACAGGTGACCCAATGCAACACAAGCGCTCCCGGATCAAACCTGATGAAGAGCTGCCAAGTCCAGGTGGAGGGAGTGAACAGGTAATGGCAACTAGTTGAAAGGAGTGGCCATCTTCTGTAACACCACACCACTAACAAACCAATAATACAAACGCCACATTAATAATACTATACCACACTAAAACTGCAAGGATTGCAGTCAAGCCTGAGAAAGCAACCACCTCTAGTCAACAACCACCCACTGTCAAAAAACATCTGGAACCAGTTGGACCAATTTTCCATAATAAACTACCTCTACTCAGCAACAACTTATCTAACATAACCAGTGGCCACTCTTTTTTAGCCCTGTACAGACACCCTTTTTAGCAGTCAGTTCCATGTGAATTTGAGTGTACTCACCAGTAATGTGTTACCAATTTCTGTGGGCATGTGTTGACTCCTGCTAGATTCCTAGTGAATTTACCAATTCCACAGGATTTACATTTACGTGCAGTTTACAAGCAGGTCCGTGAACATTTTTAAAACATGTTTTGGCCCTGTTCAATGAACCATTGAACCCTTACTCAGAGGCCATCCTCACACAAAGGCCACTTTGGTCAGGTCTCCAGAGTGGTTGCTGAAAATAGGTTTGACTGCATTTTATTTCCACCCAACCGCTGAAGGCCAGATGCAGGCAATACATTGGCTTTACACGGGGTGTTCGACCACTATAGAACTGCTTCAGAGAGTTACCCTGAGTGGTGCATTGCACACACGGGTGCTGGAAGTCGTAATGCCACTATCCTAACTGTGTCACCCGTTCCTCACTTGTATAACACATTGATTCACGACGGGGATGGAGTCTTCTCTCTGATAGCTCAGCATGAGAATTTTAACCCAAGATTGTCAGTGTTAGAAGCAGTTTTAATATTTAGCAATTATCCTAAAGCTGTATAAAGTGGTTTTCCTCCATTGAACTGTGCACCTGTTACTCAACAAGTTCAAAGTGCATACATAGTTACTCAGCTTTTGGGACAGGAGAGGCAAAAGATTGCAAATGTTACATTGCTTTTCCGCCACTCCCCGATGAAGGAACTGGAAGCTTTGGGCACGATTCTGAAAGTTTGAGGTTCAAACAAATCTGTCCTTAATTACACTTCTCAACATTTTAAGGACTCGGGTTGGTACATACTGTATATCACGAGAGCATCCCTGCATTATAACACAGACTCCCAGTGTGTGCACAGCACAGACTTCCAGTGTGTGAAACACAGACTCCAGGTGTGTGATGCACAAACTCCCAATGTGTGGTGCACAGACTCCCAGTGTGTGATACACAGACTCCTAGTGTGTGGAGCAAGGCACCGGCATGTGTTAGCACAGATATAAAGTGTCTGTGACATGTAGCCCTTCTGGAGCTGTGGAATGTTTCAGATTTCAGCTAAAGGTGCATTCTGTTTCAAGTAAATAATTGACACTGGAGACATCTCAAAAAAGCTGTCCATGTACATTCAGTGCAACCCAGCATGTCACTGGGTATAATACATGGAGATTTCTACGAGGATTCCTCAATAAGGAAACATGAGGTACCACATGCTGACTCACAGGAACGTCACTCCGGCCAAATCTAGTTTAGGGGTAGAGTTCCTGTAGATTGATGTTACATCCATCCAGTTATCAGAAAGGTTTCTCCATTCAGATTTCTTATTAAAGAATCCCATTTGTAATCTCTGCCTATAAGGCCCTACAAGTGAATGCATTATGCAAGCCTGGGCAGTGCTGGGAACTTAGGAGCAGCAGGTCTTCTGCTACTGTGCAACTCACAGATTTCCTCTACCACAGGAACAGCCCGAAGGAATGACACTGGTCAAAGAGGAGGTGGACAAGGATGAAAGCAAGCAAGAGCCTGAAGTGGTCTATGAGACCAATTGCCACTGGGAAGGTTGTGCAAGAGAATTTGACACACAAGAGCAACTAGTCCATGTAAGTAACACCAGCCAGGAACTGGCTCTGCTAATGCACTCAGGCTACATGTAGGTCAGGTTCTTTGACCCAAAAGAGTCAAGTTTCTTAGCTGGGAGCATTTTGCGCTGAGAGGATATTACTTGTTCCAGGGAACTGAAAGGCTGTAGAGCTTGACCAATTCAGCCCTCTGAAGCTGGAGGGAAGCTCCTGTAAAATGGACTACAAAGGACGGCTGTGTTTTGGGCCAGTGTAAATGAAAGGCTGGAGAAAAATTGACGAAACTTGTAAACCCCAAAATAGTTTAGCACCTTAAAAAGGGGAAGCAAATTCTAAGCTTTGAAAATGCGACAACTTATTGAAGAAAAATTGTTATTTAAGACTTTGTGTAAATTGTGTTGTATTCAGTAAATACTGAATATAAATGAATCCAAAACTGTGACCCAGCTGGAAAGAGGACAACCCAAATTAATAGCATCAGCAGAATTTTGCCCACAAAATATACAGTCAATTCACTTTACAGTATATTCTGTGAAGTGCTTTAAGATGTCTCAACAACGTGATAAGGCTGCTATATCAAATGCAAAGATAATTATTATTATCGCCATATTCTCAGAACAGAATCTGAATTTTAAAATGTCCAGACCGTGCAGTTCAGTCTATGCTGGTCCTGCTGAAGGGAACCATCAACCACATTCACTGTTGCTTCACCAGTAAACGTCATAAATGTTTCAATTACAGAGAACACATTATTAGCAAGTGTGGGCATTTCTAGGAGCATTAAACAGCATTTAGTGGTTAAGAAGATTTAATGAGTTTAAAGAGAGTTTAATGAGAGTTTTCCGACCTGAATCTTTCTGTGGGAGAGATGGGTGGCATTAGTTTGTTTCTATTTGTGAACAAGGCGAGACTAAAGAAGCAGCTTGGGTTTTAGTTAAGTCTTCAAGCCCAGAGTTGGGAGCAACTGATGCTCACAACTAAAGGTTTCGTTTTGTAAACAGCGCTGCCATCATGTTTCTTTTGTTAATTATGCAATATAATTTTTGCTCTGTATTTAAAGACACACAGCCATGTACTTAATTGATGTTTCCGTTTAAAGATCAATTGATTATGTTGAGTTTAGATTTTTTTAAAAATTCCATACCCTCTTCGGACTAGGCGTCAATTCTCACACAAGATAACATAATCAGAAACCTCTGTCAATGTCAAATGACTTGCAGGAGAACCTAAAAGCAGGACCACAAATGTTAATCAGAATTTTCCTACAAAAAACATTTCTTGTGAAGTACTTTGAGATGTCTGGACGGAATGGTAAGGTGCAGAATCAAGTACAAAGATCATAATGATTTCAGAATCACAGACAGCTAACACAGCAGAGTTTGCTTTTGATTTGTATTTGCCTAGTTAAACTGCAATTTTTTTTCTAAAAAAAAGTAGTGTAAATGGTGATGCCTTGTGTGGCAAATACATTGGAAATGCCACTCAATATATGAGAGTCAGAACATGTGCAATAACTGTATAAGCAGAGAGTAAGGTATTTTCTGAATATACTTAGACACCCAAGTGAAGACAATCTTCCTTTCAAAGATTTTTTTTAGACACTGCTTAAGTAAACCCTCTCCCAGTTAATAGAAAAATTCATGGATCTTCATGGCTGTCCATCCAGTGCCTGACAGTACCAGCAGCTTGCTAAAGCCATCACTATCTATAATTGATATCCTTCCATGGAATGGGGTTGCTGACGACATTTCAAGGTCTTTGCTGAAGGTTTTTTTTTAACAATCTTGACAATTTTTGCCCTCTGTGGTGCACCCTTTAAACTGCTCTGTTGGAATGTCAAAGTAGTTGAACCGTAGTACGGAGGCTACATGTGGCTCCCATTAAGCAAATCACAAACATTGATAGTAGCATGAGAATTCCTGCTATGATTGCATGCCAGAACAAGACTCATTTACATCAGACTTGCGAGAGGGGAAACTTGTTGCATTTATATTATTATACGGTGGGCCGACTGTTTTCAAGGTTTTAATAAAAGTCATGTCCGTGTTTTAATTTCGGTTGAAAAAATCCATATGGGCAGCTGGCGGGGACTGCTGTTGCTCCCAGACATTAATACAAGGTCTGTCTGCAGAAAGCTGCGGAATTAAGTTCACCCTAGCCGATGTTTGGCTATGTTAATGCATCCAAAGAAAGTCAATTTAAGAAGGGGTTTAGAAGTAACAACGTTAGAGCTTTGATAGACTATGTAACTGCTTTTCTTTCCTCGTATATTTGTTTTATGATGACTGCAACAATTTGTCATTATTCTGATTCCAAACAAATCTCGATCCATTAGATTTTATTTGGAGAACAACTCCCTTTTTCTTGGCATTTCTGAGCATCGAGACTTTGTTAGTTGGCTGTACCCAGTCTGGCACCCCATCTCTCGACTGCAGAGCAGGCTGCTTGTGTAAACCTTCACAGCAATGGTTCCTGCAAATCCAACCTCTCTTGCCTTACCCGCGTGGCCTCTCTGTACATTGTTCTATACACGCATATGTCCAGAAAACTCTTTACAGCACAGAAAGTAGTGTTCGTTTTTGTTTGATCGCCTACAGTTCCAGACGCTGGTGGCTTTTCCCTCATAAAGTTGATCCCAGATTCAATTGCCACACTTCAAGTTATCCCAGTCCAGTGCCATACTGCCGACTAATACAATTTCTCTGAACCATGGTGTAAACCCTGAAATCCGATTAATTTTTTTTGGTTTAAAGAGTCCCTGGTTCTTAGTATCCTCAAAGATGCTTTTTTGTTTTCATTTGGTTTCTTGCCCAAATGGACACATTTGCGAAGTGACTGCAGGATGCAGCAATGGCATGATAAGCTGTTCGCAGGCCCCCTTGCCCTCCACCCATCTCTCATTCCAACCCACAGCTGGGGTGCAAACCCCTCATTGTCTTGCGCCTTGGGACATCCTCCCGATGTGAAAGGTGCTATATAAATGCAATTTGTTGTTGCTTGCTGCTGTTTGCACCCCATCTCTCGACTGCAGAGCAGGCTGCTTGTGTGAACCTTCACAGCAATGGTTCCTGCAAATCCAACCAGCATGGCCCCTCTGTACATTGTTCTACACACACGCGCACAGTTTGTCAAGAAAACTTGTTTGCCCTCCCTTCCTTCCCCTCACCATTTCCCCCCTGCACGGGTCCTGACCCAACTGTCCAGCGCCTTGGGACGTACTCTCGACGTGAAAGGCGCTCTATAAATGAAATCTTCTTGTTGTTGTTGTTGCTGGAGTTATTTTGCTGCCACATGGAAAAGCTTGCTTTGTCTTTTTGTATATGAAGTGTTCTACCCTGCTGGAAAGCTTTGAAGCAGGACTTCTCTTAGTTTTACCAAATAATCCATACATTAAAGGCTTTTCCTTTTTTTAATATCAAGGAAAAGTACAATTCCAAAGAGCAAATAACTTTTACTGGTGGGGCTTGTCTGTGTGTGGGGGGAGGAAGTTGAGTGTCTCTCCTAACTCTCAGGTGAAGATGATGGAAAGCAATTTCTAATTACTGTTGTTTACTGAAAGATAAAGACAGGCGACCGCTTGGCTGTGGCTCACCAATATGTATATATACAGACACATACACCAGCCCCCCCCCACACACACACACCATTACCCTCACCCCCACCCCCCACACACACCACCACTCCCCGCCACCCACATACACACCACCACCCCCACACACACATACACATCACGCACACATACCACACACCACACATCACACACACACACACACACACAGATGCATTCGCAACCCAAATACATCAGCCCCATCTGCACAGACCAGGCCTCTGTCCCACAGAATCCTGAGATCCCATATCCAGTGGAGTGAGATAAAAGTTGTCAGCCGAAAATGAAAGGGCCACTCTCGCCTGTTTCCCTCCTTGTGTTCTGGTGAGATAAACCACACTCCAGTCTGAGTGCCGTTTCGTTTTGCTCCTGGCAGGGACTTTAATTGGTATAATGCAGATTTTTTTNGATCAGCAGAGGATTATTCTGCTTATCTTCCTTTAGTATCTTAGTTTGTGATGAAAAAGCCTTCGGTGAATTACAGATGCCAAATTTTGAAGCAAAGTGCTTCGGTGATTGACATCTCAAAGAAAAAGTCTGGTTTATTAGCCTTTAATTGAGAGGTAAGTAGTAATCCAGGTCCTACTGATTTGTGAAATTGCTTAATATGAAGGTCTCTTTGTGATTGTAATACACAAAACCCCAGCCCAGCTGTTAGAATAGCCCCGGCACATTGGCTGGGATACCTGGGTATTTTAAACTATGAAATCCATCTTGTAGTGCTTTTACAGTAGTTGGCAGATAAGCTGGCAGGGTAAAGATTAATAACCCTCTACACTGCTATCAGTACCTGCTTGTCGATTTTCTAGCAAAGGGCTGTCTATTCAGCATGAAAATTATTGATTAAATAAAAACTTGTTATTAGGGCACAATGTGATCCATAATCAGAAACAATAGTGGACATCCTTCTTCCTGAGCCCTGCTCGTGCATCAAAACCTCCACAATATTTCATGTCATTTGTTCCAGTCACTTTGTCCTTCTAGTACCTGGCAGAGATACGTTACCCTGTTGTCATATGTGTAGATGTGACTCTACCAATAGATATAAGCACACTCTTGTGTGCTGGAATAGCATGTAATCCTTTCTTGTTATTCTCATATCGAGACTTATGAAATGGTGTGTGTGCACACACGTCAACACTCTGTGTGCGCGCGCATGTGTGTAGGCTGTGTGTACATGCGTGCCCAAGATATGTGTCTGTCAGCCTGTCTGCTTTAAAATGAAAGCAATTCTTACTCGAAGATTTGCACTTGGCAAATAATTCAGAATTTTTTTAATTAAATGTTTCTTTTAATGGTTTGCAGCAAACTAAACTTTAAATGCTTTTCTAACCCAGTCTTGTCCCCCTAAATGCCCTATGAACAAAACCCTTATTCCTTAGGTTAGAAAAAGGCGCATTTCAGGATAATGCGT